TTTGACAAAGTTGCCGTCATTTGTGTTGTGAAAGTAGTGACACAGGGAAAAGCACACCGCGGCGACCCTGCGAATTCAATATGCCAATGACATGACATCGCTCTCTTCTTGTTTTGGCCACCTGCGGCTTACTTGACTTTCACGATATTGGTTTTTGAGGCAGTGTTTTGTGTTAGCATGCCACAGGCACACAGGGCTTTACACTCTAGATCATCTAGATTGTTGTACCAAGCCGTTGTCAAGGCACTGGAGAAGAAAGATAAGACGGTCACGCAGCTGACTCTAAACTTGAAGCAATGCAGAAAGGAGGCGGGAGAGGGAGAAGACAACATGACACATTGTGGGTGAGTTTTCCGTTGAGTGTCCTAATGCTTTGACAAGCATTCTGTACAAGACAGGTAGTTGGCTTTGCAACCCGCAAGCGAGTGCGAATGCATGCTACATGCTACTATCATGCTACTATACGATATATACATGCAGAGAGAGAGAGAGAGAGAGAACTGCTGTTCTGATGTTTTCCTTCAGCGACTGCAGAGCTTCGCCAGGTCTGGAAATTGCAATGCGAAGCGAATGCAGCAGACATGAAAGCCCTGAGCTTAGTGGCCAGAGAGGCGGACCGCAGTGGAGACCTGACGACGACCTCAGGTCGCCCGACTGCTGCAGAAACGTGAGGGCGAGCTTCCAGAGGAATACAGGGAAGAGCTCGAAAGGCTTAAGGACAAGGAGGTCGGCGTGAAACCACACCAAGCGATGCAAAGCAGTTCGTCTTTTTTTTTGGTGGGGCTCCCTGTTGGTTGCCGGTTGGCTCAACGACCCTCCCACCCAAGATTCGCTTCAGTCAGCCGAAGCTTCAGAACGATATCAGAACGCGTCTCTCATTTGAATGACCTTCGGCCACAGGAAGCCTTGGCTGATCAGCTCAGTCATGCGCGGGCCAACGCGCAACGCTGGGCCTCGGTCGCCCAGCTGCAATCACCGGTTCGCTCGCCGAACGTGGCAGAGTGTGGCCATCACAGTTATCTAGTCGGTTGGCAAGTTGGGAAAGATTGAAACACCCCAGAACGCCCCACCATTCTGTTTAAATGGTTTGAGAACTTTTTGGCTGACCCACTCTGATCCAGAGAGACGTGCTGGAGAGTGTGACTTAGTGTATAAGGGACCTGAAAAAGCAATTTGCGAAGAGACATGTTTTTCATTGCGACATTCCAGTCCTATCCACTATCCACAATCCAATCAGAGAGAGAGAGAGAGAGACCTCAACACCGTTCAGGTGGCCAAGCGACAAGATGCAATGCTTCAGCAGGACGGGTGCTTGTATGCTGCGTTTTCTATTTGTCTATAGCACAGACTAACTGTAAAATGATGTAAAATGTGAATATCCCAAAGGAGTCTTTGTCAGAGATTTTAGCCCTGGATCTCCGAGACTCACGCAGCTTTGTGCGGCCCAAGCGAAGACGAAGCGAGGTTTCCTCCGTGAGGAGCCATGGAAGCCCAGATGGAGAGTGAGATGCAGCAGCTGAAGTTGCTGGACAAGCTTGCCATTTATGTGGTCGTCATTACATTGCTGATCATGCTTTCGAAGCCCATTTTGCCGAAAGTCACGTGGGGATACGACTTCCTGCCACAGATGGCATGTCACATGTGGTCTTACCTCATTCCTTTCTTTGTGCTGTTGCACGCGGGGCATGACAGCTTTATGGTCATCGTGTCATTTGCCTCGTCGATGCTGATTGTGGCCAACCTCGCGACCGTGGGCTTCCCCTTGTACCAGTCCGCTCCGGCAGTGGCTTTGCTTTGGGAGCTTTGCTACGTCTTAGAGCGCTTCGACAAGTGAGAAAGGAGGGCGCGTGACGGCGCGTGTCGACTCAGCCAGGGAACCACCAGGCACTGGTCTGGAATGAAGGCCTGAGCCGTGCATTTGCTTTACCAGCCCAGGGCAAATGGATTGTGACATATCGCATGAGAAGAAAAAGCGGGCAGAAGCAACACCGGACATCCTTGACATCAAACAACAAATGTTGATGCCACAAACAGACGTGTCAACTCCTGCCTTCAGCCTGTATTCAGGAGCGTGAGGAGCAGCGTGGGGATGCACATAGCATTTTAGCCAAGCACCCTGCGGGAGAGGTGTTCTGGTCGTCCCTTGGCTAAGAATCCGCACACATCATGGACATGACATGTCCTAGGAAACCAGATCATTCGCCTCACCAGCTGCCTTTGTTGGATTCAGGGGGGTTGGTTCTGTCGTGGTTGTGTCGTGTCCTGTTTCAGCTCGCAGGCAAGAATCAGACAGTGAGAGCGAAGAGGAGAGAAGAAGACCAGGGCCATCAGAAGTTACCTTGGGAAGCAGTGATGAGGACCAAGAAACTGTTGGCAGTGCCTGCCAAAATGGTCATGTTGTTTTGTGAGATTTGATCATGTGATCAATCCTTGTTCAAATTTGAGGAATCCCCAAGGGGCTCGTATCCAGCAGCCAAAGGCAAGAGCCGGCCTCGATCCTATTCCTCAGAGTCTTGGCTGTGGTTTGATGGCTTCACTTTGAGATAGTTGAGTACAGCTTGGCTGGTTTCCTCGATCGGTGGCAATCCAGTAAATACCTGCACTATACCTGATGGATTTTTTGCTCAAGGTGAAATGTGTGGGGAATCATGGAGCCTATGGAAGAACACATGCATATCATTCGGATCCAAGCGAATGTTGAGACCTGCCACCATCCGATCACCACGATCGCGAATTGGTCGAGGATAGTGCCAGCAGCGGCGACTCTTTGGGGCTCGACGGTGCTCGGGACACGCGTTCTTGAACGCCATGCCCGTCGGCAGACCGTCGAACGCAGACCCATGCAAATATGAAAAACAATGAAATACAAATTGTAGATACAACAAATGTTCGGAAAGTCATGTTCCACTTGTTGATTCTGTCCACGGAATGATAATACCAAGATGCCCAGTGCTTCTTAGATGGGCTGCTTCTTCAATGTCCGAAACCAGTGACACCAAGCTGTTGGAACGAATGGCGTGTTGGGGCGCGGTTGGAGCGTGTCAAGACGGTGATTGATATCCCTTCGGGGCCGGGGTGGGGGAGAACATGAGACAACAACGAAGATATTCACGACGATGTCCTGATCTTCAATGGCCAGGCCCGACCTCGACAGCGGCGGCTGTAACGGTGGCTTGCATTGTGAGATACGTGGATGACAAGAACTTGAAGGATCAAAGGATCTAGATGTTTAATCCATGTAATTGTATATCCAGGTGTGTTTGAACAGCCAAGGCGAAAGCTGTTCCTCCGTTGCCTGAACTCTCAAAGACTCAAAAGCTGCAAGAAGATGCGGACGAGGCCTCACAGGATTGATGATATAGTCACTATATATAGTCATTGAACTGCCAAATTGCCACCTGCTCATACCTGGGGCCTGGGGTGAACTGCTTCAAGGACCCTAGTGAATCACATCCATCTCAAGACCCGACAGGGTGCCAGCAGCATCAGCGGCGACTCCTTGGATCTTCCAGGGACAGGCGCGGCAGACGGCGACGCAACGGCGACCGTCGACGAAAGCGAGCGGTTTCCGTTTAGGCATCGGGTCGTTGTTCACGCAGCTGAGCTTGTCCACTTCGATTTTGGTCAGTGGGAGTCAGGAACAAACGACCTATGATAGATATGATGTCAAAAGTCTTAATGCAGACTCTTGATCAATAACCACTCTCATTTGAAGTGCAAAATCCTCTTCATATGGGGGGGGGATTATTAATCAAGAGTCTACATTAGCTTCATGATAGATATGACCAGGCTTCTGCACACAAGCCAGCTTATTCTGTAGTTTTCTTCAGGGGCTGTCTTTCGGGAGAGACACCAAGAAAAGAAGAACTACGAAACTGAGCTTTGGTGGCCAGGCCCAACGCCGACAACGACGGCTGTAACGGCAGCTTGCAATCTGAGACATGCGGGGTCAAAGACATTTAGACGATGAGACAAGAGTGGGTTTTTCACGGTCAACTGTGTTTCACAGCTGTTGTTTAAAGTTTAAACATTTTGGACAAGCTGTTGACCAGCTGTGACCCAACTGTTGACCATGAGACATTTAGGACAAGCTTTTTTTCACAGCCAAGGCGAAAGCTGTTCCTCCGTTGGCTCAACTCCCAAAGACTCAGAGGTTGCCAGAAGATGATGAGGATGAGGCCAGCATTGATGATATCGTACGTACTTTTGCAGGTAACCCGCTTTGCCGGGGATCTACTTGACTCTCAGGGTGTGAAAACGTTTGGGCACCGACTGAAGACAGACCGCCACAGCTTGAAGACTGCAGCGTCGCAAGATCTACTCCGAGATAGAATCGGACATACAAGAAAGCTCTCGCAGCGTGTGAGTGACAACGATGTGATGCGTTTCTGAACATCGCTCCTATCAGAGGCAAGCAACATGTTGCAAAGCCATGCAAAGCCCATCTAATTGAGCCATTGAACACTTGCTGTACATTACATTGAGTGAGGGGTCATGGAGTCATAAATATCAAAATTACTAGCATCAGAATGACTTCAGTTTGGGAGCGCCTTTGATGAGCGCATGTGCACCTGGTATCTTTGATAGATAAGTTGCGCTAACAAAGTAGATGCAAGGATAGCCCGTGCAGACAGTTTTTCCAGACGTTGGTATCCAGTAGTGGCAGCAATTGTTCAACAGAACTCCTGTGTAAAACACTGCTGCACGTGCTTTCCTGACCTTGGCGCGAAGTAGTCAATGCAAGGAGCTGAAAAAAAGGCACACCGCGCGAGTCTCGTTAGTTCTTTTTGCTCACCCTGATTGAGAGTGATGCTTATATAATGCTTGCTGCTTTCTGTTTGCATTCTTACACTCGACAGGGTGGCAGGGCTTAAAACTCTGGGCATTCGTACAGTCTCAAGATGAAGATGGAAGCTCAAAATGGTCCGTTTGCAAGTGGCCTTCAGATGTTTTCAGGTTGTCAATCCTCAGGGGTATTGAATGCTCAAAAGCTGTTGCAGGCAGCATGTGCTCCATCCAAATGTTTGGAAGCCTTCGACCAGGATGCTGAGGTGTCTCGAAAAGCTTGCTTGAAGAATAGCGAGGAACGTGTGTGGTCTCCTGGATATATGCGTTTAACAAGGATCAGACGTATCAGAGATGTCTCCGAACCTGTTGGGGGAGCACCGTATCGGCAGGAGATGAGCTAGGCTGCCGTGAGCAGAAATAAACCTGAGAGTGCACTCTGCTTTGCACCGTTCGGTGCGTTCCAGAGGCGTATGCTCCATCGACCACTTTGGGCTTGTGGAACCCCAAAGTCTTGCGCTGAGCGAGCTCGCCGGAAGAACTGTTTCCGACCACATCCGCATGAAGACAGGCAAAAGACGAGCGGAGAGGAAAGCCTCAATTCCTGGGAGAAGAACAAATGGTCAATCATTCACACACCTTTCCAAGTTGGAGTCTGCCGCAGATGCCTGCGTTGTGTCCTCAGTAAGCTGAGCCAACAGTGTGAGGATTTGTGCTAACAAACTACTGTTGAATTCCAGCATTTTGTGTAGTGTTGTAGTGATCCCCGCATAGATAGACATGGATTCCAAGACAGCGTGCAACTTGATGGTGATTGATGTCGTATTTCCGGGGCGGTATATAATTACAGTCCAGTGTGAGCATTTACAACAAAATAACACCCTCCCAGTGAAAAAGAATGTGAAAAACCAACGTTAAGCCAAGAAGTCGAAAACATGTACAACAGGATCCAAAAGTCAAGTGCAAGCAGTTTATGAAAGGGTCATCAATGACTTTTTCATTTTTGGGTGACTTGGTGGAAAGGAGGTTTATATTTTTACAGCAGGAGTGTCAGTTTCCTGTACTTGGAAAACAGGTTTGTCATTGTACCAACCTACTGGCCGAAGTCTATCGAGTCTATTGTCGACAGCGATTTGTAATTGATTGTCAGCTCTGTACTTTCTGAGACTTTACCCTTTTGCAAAGACTTGTTGGAATTGTTTAGAAAGGGTGTCACAACGAAGTGCTTGTTTTGAGCTGGCTCTACACATAAAGGCTTGCCGTTGTAGTCATAATCCATTCCAAGTCCTGAAAAAGAAAGCAACTGGACCTCAAAAGGAAGCTTGTTATTGAGGAACTGAAGTTTATCACTTTGCCTTGGCAAATTGGGCACCGCTCGCGTCCACAGCGAAAGGAATCGCTTCAGATTGGCACACCTGGCCGCATGTTCGAGGCTGGGGGGATTTTTGGGATTTGGAAGTTCAACGTACAGGAAGTTCGGTTGAATAGGAGACAGTGACAGAACCCCAGCATGTCACAGGCGTTCGATTTCCATGTCACAGCTAGGCGTTCGTGGACCTCTCTATTCGGGGGACCTCTCTAAACTACCAATCGTCCCAGCAACCAATCTTTCCAATAGACCACTGATGACCACTGTACAGGCTGGAAGACTCCAAAGTTCAAAAGCAAGGTGAAATTTCAAATGAAACCCTGGAAGATTTGGGTGCCATTGTGTTTGATTTGCCAGTGAAGGCAAAGTATGGCAGAAAGACCTGACATACAGACCTGTCACCTTTTTGGAAAACAAGAGTGGAGTGAGTCCATGGGTCCATGGGTGCAATGTTGCTGCTGTTTCTTGCAGTATGTGTTTTAATTGTTTTTAATGTTAAATAATTTGTTTTAATGATAAATAAGTTGTGTCATAGTTTTCTATGTTGTTTTATATAATGTTTTGTTCTGTGAATATAGGTGTTCAGCATAGTTGATGAGCTACCCAATGACCGGGTACCCAATTGTCTTCAATGAGTAGGGGGCGTCCCCATCAATCATCAATGGTCAGAGGCTACGGTGATGATCTACAACGGTGGGCGTGCTGCGGTGGGTGAGCAGATGACGACCCATTGGGGTAGCGACCTTGGTCAATGCGCGACGAGGATCGCGCGGCGACCTTCCCAACTTGCTTTTGTGACTCTTTGTGAAGCTTTTGGCCTCCCAGAACTGTGATGCTTCGTCCAGCTCCCCCCCAGGTTTTTGTGCACCTGCACATTGTGCAGACGACGATGCTGCAGCTGTTGCCTGTTGCCTTAAGAACGTCAGGAATGCACACAGTGATCCTATAAAATTTGTGCTGTAGACCGAGCGTTTATTAACGTGTGCATTGTTGCGACGTGGCATCCGTTCGTCAAAACAAGTGGATTTGCAGCAGATCAGCACAGTTTGCACATCGAAGCCCAAGAGAAAGGACAAGAAAACATCTCCACCCAATACAAGTGGCCAAAGGATGTGAGAGGAGAAAATCCATCAAGGAAGACACAACATGTTCATTCATTGCCAGTTCCAAATCCAGTTCTTGAGAGTTCTTGAGATGTTTGGCAAATTTAACATCCAGTATAGAAGCACACCCGAGCCGCATCCGGCTTTGACACCAGATCACTTCCACTTGCTTGAGGCTACTGTAGTTGCAGTACACAAAAGGGTGGGCAGCCGACAGGCATAACAAGAAAGAGGTTCGTTCCATGGTATTCCATGTCATTCGCCATCACGAAACATGATTGCGCTGTCAACCTCAGCTGCGGCGGTGCTTCTCGCAGCAGGCAAGGGGCTTCTCGAAGCATGGCATGAACCAGCAGAATTTAGCAGGACCCCGCAACTCCCCACAATTTGCGGACACGTACGCCCCCCAAATACATCTACAGTAAATACTACGTTTGTTTTGGGCAACTGCCATTTGTTCGTGGTGAGGCGTCCTGTGGCTACAGCAGAAAAAAAACAGTGGCAGAAGAGGCCTTATCTCAACGTATCAATATAGCAAGCAGGATGCGGCAGGTATGATTGTCATGTGATTGCCTATCATATCACATATATACGTGTGGCGTACACCTACACACAATTACATAATATATATATTTATGTATATATACATTTATACTGTAGTAATTTATGCTATTTTATACTTATTTGTGTGCGTGCATGCACATGCTTGCAAGCATTTTTGTGTGAATGAAGGTTTTGGCGTCCTATGGCTTTTGAGATTTGAGGCAGAAGAGACGTGCCTGGGCCCTGATTTGCTTGGGCAGGATGTTCTGTCGGCATTTATTGCAGCTGGGCCGCAAACACAGGCACATCTGGCCTCGCAGAACATCGGTTGGAGCATGGCATGAACTTGCTTTTCTAACTCACAACTCTTGGCTCAAGTCCAGGTTTGTTGTTGCTTGAATGACCTTGGGAAGCACAAAGAAGCATATACAAGGCGTTCAAAGTAAACCAATTCATACCAATTCCGTGCCTACCGAAAGCTCGGGTGTCAAGAAGGAAGCATGTCATTGCAAAGGGTGTTTCCTTGCCTCCATCCAGCTGTGTCGTAACACGATGGGAGCTGCCAACGGTGTTGCCGCGGACTCCGGTGTGGCTGCTTCTCCCTGGAGCTATTTGGCCTGTGAAACGCCATGCTGCGATCAGGAGCACAGCTTTCTGGTGGAAAACCGCAACGCCGCGCGCTTGGGACTCTCCAATTTTGAACCTCCACATGCCGAGATGGACATCAAAGACTTCAAGTCCAAAGGCTTCACACGCATGGAGATCGTTTGTGCTTCGGAACTGGACACCTATCGCATCAACCGATGGGCCAAGGACGAGAGTGATGCCGAGCTCGCCAAACAGATGGAAGGCTTACCACCTGCCCTGACCTCGATGATGGCCTTGGCACCGCCGGAGGGGTACCTGGCGGATGGCCCAGATGGTCAGTTGGTCCGAGACTTTGGAGATACCACCGAGTTGGTCGACTATGACGCACCCAACCGCCAAGCATCCACAGTACCCACCACGCCGACGCCACCGAAGACACCGGAGGATGCTTGAAGATGCGACGAGAAGATGCCCCGAAGGTTGAGGAGTTGCTTCCTTGACCTAGCTCGGCACGAAGCTTTCCGGAGGCCCATGTTTGAAGGTATAAGGTGATAACACACATTTATAGTACACATTTTATACATATGCCATATGTATGTCATATGTCAGTCATGTCAGCCATTGATGTTATCCACATAGGACTGACCGGGAGCTGCGTATTAATTCGACTGCAAGAGTCTCACCCTGTTTGCAGAAATAGCTTTGGAGCCAACGTCTGCCCCACACCACTTTGAAGAATCGCTAGCACCGACGAAGGCCGCAGCCTGTGATTCTTCGTGGCCAAAGCCAAAGTGACAAAATTGGTCACGAGCTTGCATCAATTGAGGTTGTTTGACGGATGTGGTTTTGCGCAGCACGAAAAGTTGGGTTCTGAGTTCTGAGGGTTCTTTCAGCTGGGCTGAATCGTTTCAGCCCGTCAGAAATTGTCAAGAACCCCGTCCCTAGGTGTATGATTTCGTTTCTCCATGTGTTTGCTTCGACTTTGAGGCTTTGGGAGTACCTGGCGCCATCAATGTGTCTCAACTGCCAGCAGCTGCGCTTTTGCACTGGACGCCAAGGTTGGAAACACTCTGGTGTGATGTCAGTTCTTGCAAAGATTGTGCACCAAATCAATCTTCCCACAAGCTTGCCTTGCAGGTTAGAGACAGTTGATGCAATCATCCTTGTCCACTTGCCGGCCTGGTTTTGCCCCCCATGTTCGGCCAGGTCATTGGCAGAGAAAGCGCCCATCTTGAAAGACGTTTGGGTGAAAAACAGATCGGCCACGGAGATCAGCACTCGATTCACGCCACTTGGCGCGCAGCGTATGAAATTTAATTCACCGAAGTATCCAAAGCCCTTCAAAATTGATTATTAATAGGTTGGAGGCCATCGCTATTAAGTCTTGATTCCTGACATTGAGATTTGACTCTCTTCAATCCTGTTCACTGTTCAGGGCGGTTTTATTACCTGTACTTCGCATCCCGTCCTCCCTCCTCCTCCTCCTCCTCCTCCTCCTCCCACCGCCTCACACCAACTCAACTCACTTACACTCTCTCACACCAATTTGCACTGACTGACTCACTCACTCGCTCACACCTCACTTTCACTCATGCCTTTGCGATTCCTCTTAAGGGGATTGGAGGTTCACATCACTTGGTCAGCTGTGGTTGGCGGTCTCCTCCACTTGCGCTTTGCCTGTTTGGAGCCCTTCTAAGGGATGAGAGATGATGAGAGGTTCTGATGCGCCGTGGTCGGCTGTGGTCGCTTGGCCTCCTGCCCTTGCGTGTCCCTTCGGCTTGCTCACGCCAACTCATGTCACTCACGCCAACTCACCGGCGCACTCACCCACTCACTCACGGCAGTATATGTTCACCATTCCAATATTATTTCACATTTTTGCTCATCATTTGCAAGCACTCCTCCGTCGCTATCATTCCTCTTTCTTCCGATGTTGCCGCTACTTACGTACTACTTGTTATGAACACAAAAGCTTCACATGCAGGCCTCTTTGGTCCTTTGAAGATTTTTTGGGGGGGAACCGGGAACACTACTCCAGGGCCAAACTGGGATTTTGGTGAGGCCCTCCTACTATCCTTCTATTAGTTCCGCAAGTGACCTTCACCAACAGATGCCACCAAATATCCCGCCCATACCTTGCTGTTTTGTTTGTTGTCGTCCGATGAGCGATTCCGATCATTTGCCAAGGTATTGTGTCCCGAGCCGAACGCTCGGCCCACTATTGCGTGAGAAGTTGATATCGCACGAGGTGATGCAGATCGGGACTGAAGAAATGCTTAAGGCATGCATTCAGGACACCAAGGCGGGAATCAAGCACATGTTCTTGTTCACGTGGGTGGCTTGACCAACTTCAACATTAAAGATTGAGAGGATTGTGTGAACCTTTCACGTGCTGTTCGCTTGGCTTACTCAATTGATTCTTGGTACATCTTAGCACTATATGATACTATATGCGTTTAGGCACTACAAGCTAAACTCCAGAATTGCTTCTGTTCAGTATGCTTAAAGATGCTTAAAGTATGTTCCATTGCATTGTTAGCTCCTTGTTTGCCTGTCAGAAGCGCTACTTCTACTCTGGCTTGGCCGAAGGCTTGTCTGACCCTTTACATGTTTGACCAGTGTAAGCAGAACAGCCCAACTCAGAACTCATGCCCAGTGGATATTGCAACAAAGCAGCAGGTGCAGACGGGCTGGTGCATTCAGATGCCAAAAAGTTGGTCGAAAGCTTCCTCAGAGCAGTGGAAGGGGTTCGCTCAAAAGCTACAACGCCGCCGGCTTCGCCAGCTTCAACTTCGGAGGCGTTTGCAGCAGCGTGAGTTCTACGCTACGGATTGTTTGGATGACATTTACTGTAGCTCATACACGTTGTTCAGAAGGTCTTTGATTGGACCCAAATCAATAACTCTAACATACTCTAACACTCCAGGAGGTTCTATGTTTGATTACTTGGATTATGCAGTGGGTTCAATTATTTGCTGGTCATTGCTATCTAGGTTGTTAAATGGGAGATGTGTGGCTTTCATGTATCATAGGGCATGTCTCCGCTGCGAGGCAAGGGCCAATGTATGGATATCGTGCCCGTTCACAGGGGCATCCACCCACTACGACATGGGCTACAACATTGTTTTGCAACTGCCACTTGCCTCATCGTTTGATTGGCTCCTACCCTAGAATCCTAGCTGTGGAAAGTCGGTTGCAAAATAGAAGCATGAAAAAGCCGACTTTCCACAGCTACGTCGCCAGTATTTACAAGAGTTTATAAGAGGGCCATTGCACGATCTGATCTCCACCCAGTGTCCTGAATGTTTGTAGGTTTGGCACCAAGACCTTCGAGCTGTGATCGCCTCAGCTGTGACCTTCGAGCAATGCGGTGAAGACCTACAACCCATGGAGGAGGAGTGTGACCGTTTTTCCAAACGAACCGGAGGTTTGTTTGAGACTCCCTCCATGCGGTTTACGGTTTCCTTTGAAGAAAGGAAGATGTCAAACCATGCAGGTTACCTCCAGAAGCATTCGTGGAGCTCAACATACCTCCAACAGGCCACCCCTTTGCCTATTTCTCAGCTTTTTCCCATGTGAATCGCCCTTGGGCATGCTTTTTTCTCGGACACCTAGGCACGTCAGGTCATGAAAGAAGGTCGCCCGGTGCTGAGGGATACACATTCTCTATCTATTTGAGTCTTTGATCAGTTCGATCACTTCTCGAAAAGGAATGACCTCGTCCTCGCCGGAACCGGCGTGACCCGACCAGAACCCGCCATAACTTTGGTGAACGCCGCATCTTTCTTGGCATGTGCGGTAGTCACCGACGTCCGCCGAAGTCGGCGGTCTGGCCTCGGTGTTCGCGTCGAGGCCACAACTTCTCGAGGTTCCACCTGAAAAGAGGCGATGCGCCGCGACCTTTGAGAAAAAACTTTCCCGTTAGAAGCGAAGCCGAGGCGAACCGTGCGGACCGACGCTGCATGCACCAACGCCAGCTTTTTCCACAGTTTAGACCGAGGCTGTATGTACCACCGCTTTGGGCGCACAGAACGACTACTGGCGAAGGTTCGCACTTCTCAGTTGAAGGTTCAAAGTTTGCGAAAACCACTCATAGTTGTGAATGAAAGGCAAAGATCCAGCAACACAAGACATAACATGTTGCGTTTAGTACAATCGCTTGTACTTTTGGCCCGGCCGTTTTGCCTCACTACCCTGAACAGATGACATGCCCACATTTTTCCACAAGACTCTTATATAACTGGGGTTTACATGGTTTTGGGCAGAAGGCCCAGCCATATTAGTCACGTGCGTCTCACTATGGCAGGAGCCGAGCAGGAAGTCTCTATCTCTTTGAACATTTTTATCGGCAAGAGCCTCATGCCTGGTGACCAGCTTGGACTCCAAAATTGATCTCAAAATGAGTGCATGGCAAAATTTGGAAATGGACGGACATGTTGCAGTGCAAATGCAAATTTAATGTGTTGCTAAAACATGCTACAACGCGTGGTATGACCCGGCGCCCGGTGCGGCTGAAGCAGGTTGGATGATAATGCAGCTTTCTATCATGCCAGTGAACGCCACAACATCGGGCTGAGGTTCTGCCGCGGAGGATGTGGCTGAGCAGCTTAATGCATTAGCACTGCCTTTCGAGGCGAAGCAAACCTTGCATTAGCTACCAGAGAGCTGCAGTTGCAAAAGTTTGGAAGTGGAACTTGGCAAGCTGACTGGGAAGACTCTTGCATGTTGATTTTGCCGATGGTGCCGTTTCATCAACATTGTTTCCGAAAAGCAACTTCGTACGCTGGCTCCGACACCTCAAGTTAAGTATATATTGCTTGCATGGTGCACGCGGTGTATTCAAAGCGGTTGCTTTGTAGGCATCCTGGCCATCGAATACCATGCAGTTTGCTGTGGCACTCTACTTGAAGGCCTTTCTTGACGAGGCCAGCAAATCTTTTTCGTTTGGGGCTTGGAGGTATTGCAGTGGTTTGTTTACCAGCATGCAATTGGCGGGGGGTTCATGTGTTGCATCCTGTGACATATGCGACGTATTGCTTGTCACCCAACTTCATACATACATGATCATACACGTATATAATTGTATAATGTGTATATATATATGTTTGTGTGCATGTATAGTTTTTTGTAATATACTGTAATATATATATATATAGTATATATATATATAGTATATATATATAGCCTTGCTTCTACTTGCAATTCCGAAAGGGTAGGCAACGTCTCAGTATTGTTTTCTTGCCGGCCCTCCTCTACACCAAGCAAACCTAAACGTATATAAGATGTGTATATATACACATACACACCATATATATATATATTTACCAGGCTACCGCCTGCAGCCGCCGACCCCCAAGGGATAGAACCTTAGCGCTAGCCTTGCTCTATGTTAGCCTTAGCCTTAAGCCTTAGCCTTAGCCTTAAGAGTGCAGACCCAACCCAGCACCACCAAAGCAGGTACCCAAAAAGTCGACTTTTTGGGTATCTCCCAGATTTACCATCGGACGTCAGCTCTGCATGAACCCCGATCATTGCCCAAGAATTTAGACCCAACCCTTCACCACCAAAGCAGGTACCCAAAAAGTCGACTTTTTGGGTACCTCCCAGGTTTACCAATTTAGACCCAACCCAGCACCACCAAAGCAGGTACCCAAAAAGACAAAGCCTAGAGCATTCCTAGGAAAATGCCAGAAAAGCCTTTGAAAATCTCATAAACCAACAGAAAACGTGACAAAATCTACGAAAAAGCAAGGGCATTGGCCGGGACCATGCCGCGACCAGCCCGGGATTCGAGCCCAGGACCATTTTGGACCGTGCTTATTTTCCCGCGCGGGTCGAGAGGGTGCCCCAAGATGTAAATCAATTGGGATGGCAGATTCTTGGACAATCCAGGTCGCTTTCCCGGCAGGATTTCGTCACTGCAACAAGGGTCCGGAGGGGTAGGGGAGGTCTAGGTCTAGGTCTAAGGCTAAGGACTAGGTCTAAGGCTAAGGCTAAGGCTTAAGGCTAAGGCTGACATCGACAGTCACGCCTCACCCCACGGTGTGGGGTCGGCGGATATATGTTCTTGTGGAAACTGTTTTCCAATGGAGCATCCTGGTTTGTTCAATTGGGAATATGTTTTAGCAAGGTTAATCAATGTTGCCGGATTTGACATGGCGACAGGGGCAAGTCATATTGCACAGAGAGGGGTGTGTGTCACATTATGAGAGCATTCTCTCAACCACTTTCAGGGTGCATTCTCTCAGCATCGCGAGTAGCCAAGGCCCAAGTAGATGCAAGATACTTGGCCGCACGATGGGCATTGGTGGAGCTGAAGGAGGATCCGTCACTTGGAAAGAGTAGATCAGACAGGGTAAATGTTTCCTTGGGAGACTATCCCAAAATGACTCCAACCTGTGAAACAAGAGCGTGTGGCGAAGGCTAGCCGCGTGCATTGACTTGGACCTGTGCCTTTCTAGAGGTCACTTCCTGCCATGTTTCTCCATCCCTTTGACGTAGGAGCTGCCAGCGAACTGCACTGCGGTGATCCCACAGTCCGAATCAATCCTGAAGCGAGGGTCCCTTGGACCTGGAGTTGGTGGCTGTCGGATGGTGCGGGTGTTTCACGGCAACTCAACCTCATGATGCAATCAAGCTTGGGGAGCGCAAATGTAAATGTACCCCTCCAAGGGGAGTTGTTCACTGTCATGCTGCCTGTTTCGGCACACCCTTACAATACGTACATGTTGCATCATGTTGCTTGATACGGGATACAATGCAAGGGACATCAAGGGGCTCATGTCATTGAGTCAAGTTGTGACTCGTTGCAACGTGTTTTGCAAGGAGAGATGCCGCACTGCTTTTGCAGGCAACGATGGGAATGCGAGGCTTTTACATGCTTTTGCAAGACACACTTACCTGTGAAAGGCATAGCAATGCATTGGTCCGAAATTGAAGCTCCTGCAGTAATTTGACTATATAATATATATATATATAGTTGGTAAGATGACTACATACAGTATTTGTTCAGGTCTGTTTGCAGCTCCTTGTAGATGCTGTACTCCACTTCGTGTCTATGTCGCACCCTTGCCTTGCGTAGTGAACCTAAAAATGGAACTCGATTCGATCATCGACATGGTCGGGGTCGGAGGCCCTTCCGCGCAAACATCGCGCACCGATCGCACTGGACAGGGAAGCCTTAGGGCTTCCAGTTTCATTGAGCGCCAAATGCTGTTTCCTGCTCGATCGTTGAGTAAAGTAACTAGTACTATATACAGTTACATGTAACTACTCCACTACTACTGGCACTGGAGGGATTTTCCATGTTGTTCTTCCATTGTTGTTGTGGATGCTCGTTGTTCTGCAAAAAGCACACCACAGAATATCAATTTGAACAGGTTGAGTGGCATCGGAATTGTTGCCAGTGACCTGACTGCAGGATTATGCGGATGATGTGCTTCTGGGCGTGCTGGAGGCCAAAGTGATTCACAGCGTCATCCGGGAGATCCTTGGACGAAAGACCTGATGGACGATCCTTTTTTTTTAATTGTGGGTTCTGTATTCTGTGTAGCAGGTTGATGGCCCATGTCCCTCAATCTCTTCTCCCCTTGCGCTGGAACCCAATGCAATTCCCAAGAAGTATCTAATCAAGCCCCTATATGCATGATGCTGCACATCTAAGGTGCTTGATCTCAAGTTTGGACAAAACCGAGCGCACTAGCGGAGAAATGCACGGCGTGAGTCGCATTGGATCTCATGTTGGTGTTGATGCATTTAAGCAGGCATATCAAAATCAGAGAGAGAGAGAGAGAGGCCAAAACTTCGAGTTTTGCTCGTTTTCGGCGGCTCCTTTGTAAATTCGTTGGGCCGACAAGTCGCTGAGGCCACTCGCCTGGTGGCCCGAGAAGGCCTCACTTGGGAGGCGCCAGTCGGTGCGCTGATGTGGGAGGAGGAAGGTCCCAGGTCGTTCGCTTTGGAGCGGACTTTTGGGCACACTGTTGGGCATGTTGGAGGGTCCGTGGTTCCAAAGAAAGATTGTATTTTCAAAGGAAGTTTAGTGTGCAAAACTTCCGTGTTACGGACATTCAACAGCTGTTCAACCACCACTCATCATACATCACTCATCATACACCACTCATCATACACCACTCATCATACACCACTCATCATACACCACTCA